CCGGGCAATATTGAAGATCCAAGTCTAATTATACTTAGGAAATGATCCAAAAGAGGCCACAAGTTGATGAGAATGAAAAGAAGAAGAAAAGGAAAAATCCTTCTCCAAAAAGGAAACTTTCGCTAAAGTTGGTAACTTGAACCCGTCTTGGTAATCTGGCTGTATCTCTCTCCTCAAGCGTCAAAACAGCTAAATTCTCACATAGGTTGATAGGAAATTCGAAGAGCTACAATTTTGTGTTTCAGGAGCTTTCCCTAAAATAGCTGTTTACTTTGTCAAAATTGGCCTAGAAGTCTGCACGAATTTTGGGAGTCCTTATACAACAGAATTTCTATGTATGTCTCCTATATGAAAAAGGGAATTTTAGGGCTGATCTTTTATTATTTAAAGGGGGTCCTCTACAACATTGAAGGGTCATACAGAGGAGCTTGAGGTTGAGATCGGAAAGGAGTAATCAGAAGAAAGAAGAGATCGATCCATGGCGGTGAAGATGTCTTCCTCAACCATGAAGAATTCCACCACAGTCATGCTTGGCTAAACGCTTTGCTAGGGTTGTGATGTAGCCTTAGCTTAGCACACTGGTTTAATTGTATTTAATTATTGGAGAACAATTTTTATCATGCATGATTGTGTAATCTATAGGGTTCGCTAATTGAATTTTCAATAAGAATCGGTTTTAAAGTTTTAATTCAATTACAAATATTTTTCTATCTTGTCTTAGATACTTTAATCTTGTGATTGAGCACAACTCATTCGCTTCTTATAGTTGTGAATGAGATGATTACACAATGGTATTTCTCTTAATATAATGTTAGAGATTTGATGGATTGTGCGTAGAAAAGATATACCATGCTACACCCTAGAGTAAAGTAGTTAGGTAGATGATTTATACCAATCGAAGATAGTCCATGCTTAGCTTTAAATTATATTATTTTCTAGCTAAACTAATATGCGTTTGTAGCCATGATTAATTCCCTATGCATGTTATATGATATATCTTCAATAAATTGATACAATTGACTGGTGTTGCAACGTTAGTGATGAAATTATACCCCTAGTCCTCTCTCTCTATTTTCTACATCATATTTAATCATTGTTCTTTAATTTATTTTATTTTCTATTTAGTTAATTTAGAATTAATCATCACGATTCGATTATCCTACTTTCAAGTTAATTTTGGAATTTAAGAAATCTGCTGACGAACTTAATTTACACAAGTCCCTTGGGTACGACACCCTTACAAGTAACCCTATCTGCAAAGATTCGTGCACTTGCGAGTGGTACATATAAATCTCATAACATTCGTCACTAATAAATTTATTTGCTACGAATTATTTCCATCACTAATACAATTATTTGTTATGAAATACTTTCATTACTAATGTGTATTTTCTACAAAAAACCATTTGGCACCATTGTAGTTGATCATTTTCAACGCATAAATTTCGTAGCAAATAGCATTCTACAAAAATTAATCATCAAAAATTGAAATAAGATAAGCTACAAAATTGATTTCCATTGCGAATGAATATACTACAATAATTTTCATAGAAAATCTTAAATTTTTTTTTTAAAAAAATATATAAAATTTGTGATTATTCAAAACTGAGCAGTTTTGTATAATCACAAATTATGTATATATATATATATATATATATATATATATATATATATATATATATATATTACTAGTACAAAACAAAGTCCATTCTATGCATTAACCAAACAAAGCACAAACCAACATATTCACAAAAAAATATAAAGGTAAAAGTAGTACAAGGCATTTGTTAGATATATATATCTTATATATGGGGCCCACATGCAATTATGTATGTTGAAAAGTTTTGAGACTTATGGTATAAGCCTCTTCTTGTACTTGGTGCCTACGTTTTGTTTGCCTATAAATAGGCATTATGTGTATGTAATGTGGTGAAAAAAACTGTAAAAGCTTGTCTTTCTCTCTGTTCGTCCTCTCTCTCTCTGTTCGTTCTCTTTCTCTTTCTCTCTCTCTCTCTCTAAAACTTTGTCCTAATTTCTCTTATACTATTACTCTCTCTCTATATATATATACACACTCTCACATATATTTTATTATATGTTATCAGCCCGAGTTCCATCCATCTCAGATTTGAAGAAAAAGCTTTCTCTCCCTCTTTCTATCCCAACTATATATCTATTTTGTGATATTAGTTTTGATAGATTATTGGGTTGGTTTGCTTTATTAAAGAAAATAGTATTCCTGATTTCAAAAGGTAAGAAAATTGTAATTATAGATTATTGTTCATAAAATAAATTTGTTCACTTAAATAATATATGTGCCTACACTATGGTCAGTTCTACCACCTTTATTATTTACTGATCCACTAATTATGGTCAGTCTTACCACCTTTATTATTTAATATTTTATGGCTGGTTTTACCGCCTTTATTGTTTCATAATTTATTTACTATAGCTTGATTTACCCTTTGTTATTTAAATAATTTATATTATGTTATTATTTCATTCAATGCCATTTTATTTATATACTATGCTAAATTATATTTTTATATTGTTGTCACATCTAGTTATTTTGAAAATGTCAAATCTGACAAAGCTGGAATTCGTGGCTTTGGATATTTCTGGCAAAAATTATTTATTTTGGATTCTGGATGCTCAAATCCATTTGGATGCCATGGGCCTTGGAGACACAATCAAAGAAAAAAATGATGTATCATGGCAAGATAAAGCAAAGGCTATGATTTTCCTCCGGCGCCATATTAGTGAGGAACTGAAAACTGAATACCTCACTGAAAGAGATCCACTTTATTTGTGGAATAATTTAAAAGAAAGATATGATCATCAAAAAATAGTCATCCTCCCATAGGCCAGGGTTGATTAACTGCAACTGAGGTTGTAAGATTTTAAAACTATGGCTGAATATAACTCTGCTCTATTCAAAATTAGCTCTACATTGAAATTATGTGGTGATACTGTTACTGATGAACTTTTGCTAGAAAAAACATTCACCACATTTCACGCCTCGAATGTACTCTTGCAACAACAATATCGAGAGAGTAAATTTAAAAAATATTCAGAGTTGATATCATGTTTGGTTGTGGCAGATCAAAATAATGAACTTTTATTGAGAAACCACCAATCCCGTCCAACTGGATCGACACCGATCCCTGAAACATATGTTGCCTCATCCCGTGATCATGGACGCGGACATGGACGTGGTCGTGGTGGTAGAAATGAATATGGTCGGGGCAAAAATAACTACCACAATAATGACTATGGTCATGGTAGAAATCATTCTTATTATCATGAAGGATATCAATCCTCACATTTTCGCAATCAGAGATCCATACCATATCCTCAAAGGAGAGATCATCATGAAATGAAACAGGGAAAAGGGAAGGATGTGGCTCAACCTTCCAAGGCACACGATAATACTTGTTATCGGTGTGGCATGATAGGGCATTGGCAAAGTATTTGTCGTACACCTAAGCATCTGGCTGAACTTTACCAAGCCTCAATGAAAGAAAAAGGAAAACACACTACAAGAAAAATGACTTTTTACCACGGTGGAAAAAGCTTTCTACCACGGTTTTGAACCGTGGTAAAAACAGCCGTGGTAGAAAGTCTCGACTTTCTACCACGGTTTTGCACCGTGGTAAAAATTCGACTTTCTACCACGGTGCAAAACCGTGGTAGAAAGTCTATTTTCAACCACGGTTTCGCACCGTGGTAGAAAGTCGTTCTTTCTACCACGGTGCAGAACCGTGGTTGAAAAAGGACTTTCTACCACGGTTCAAAACCGTGGTAGAAAGTGTTGTATAATTTTTTTTTAAAAAAATAGTGCAGCCCCCACCAGGCCTTTTTTTCCCCTACTACTAGCCTTGTAAGGACTCCAGAAGCCTACACTAAATAAATTAAAAATAGCATCATAACCAAAATAACTTACAACTAACCAATAACATCATATTTATATATATATATAACCAATTCCAAATCATTGTTTTATACAAAAATTAACCATATACAAATATCTAGCATCTAATGCCATACCAAAATAAAACAAAAAATCTTATAGCTTCTTGCTCTGTTTTAGCTCTCTTCCATTACAAAAATACAACTTCTTCATGAGCCATATAAAAAATATAACGGCAACAAAAAAAGTAACGGCAACCGCAATCCTAACTTTGACCTACAAAGATGTAATAGTTGAAGTCAGAGAATATAAAGCAAGTTGTAAAGTTGTCAAAATTAAATCAAGCAAAGCAAGCATTATAATAAAGGTACATTGAAAGATCTACTCTTCGTATTAACTCAATATCTTGGGTCATTGACATCCCGTCACCAAAAGAAATCATGACACCATATTCAAACATTTGAAATGAAGAAGACTGATTTTCTTTCTTTCTTTCAGAACATATATATTATTTTAGTTAATTAAATATTTATGTTTGGCTTCCCTAAGCCCTGCACATAACTAGGAGGACCCATATTTTACTAAGCCAGGTGTTGGAACCCTAGCTCTGGTTTGAGGTTTGAATTCTATAAAATTCACATTGTGTTTTCATTTTTCTTCTCTTTTGGTTGCTGAGCAACAAACATACATAGCTAGGAAACTTAATTAATTTTTCATAGGATTTACAAGTTTTTGAATTCTAAATTTCAACTTCCATGATCTTTAAATTTTGTGGCTTCTGTTAGTGGTTGTTAGGTTAATGCCATGGTTGATGGATTTCAACATAATTATATCTTTTCTCTAAGCAGGTCAGTTTTTTGCAAAATTATATCTTTTCCTTCCATTGATGGAGAAAGAAAAACGTACTTGTATAAATAGGCTGCAATTCCCAGAATTATACACAACAGAATAATATCAATGCAGAAATTTCGACTTGACCTCAGTTGGAACAAAATTACAGAACTTCTTGTTAAATCCAGGAAAGGAATCCACAACAGAGCACAGCTGAATATAGATGGAAATTTAAATTAAACATAGTTGCAACATAAGTACCTAATTAACAGTGTCCTTGAGTCTAGCGTTGGTATTCTTAAGGTTAGATGTTGCCCTGTCCACCTGTAAGATAAGAAGAAAAGCATTGTAAATTTTTTTTTAAATCGTTGCAGCTTCAAAAACTTTCAAGAAAAGAACAAATTTCTGACCTTAGTGTCTATCTCATCCATCAAAGGGACTTGCTTATCCATTTCCTGCAACCATTGCATAACATAATGATCCAACATGATGTAATTGTAAGGAAAGAGAAAATAAAGGAAAAGACATTAAACCTCATTCATATCCTGGGCCATGCTTTTTAACGTGTCTATACCTTCTGCTATCACATCTAAACCTTGGTCCTGTGAAACATCAAAAAGAAAAAACTATAGGAATTCAAGATCCACATTAAAAAATGCAGTATAAATACCAAAAAGAATGTTAATTTCGTTCTATACAAACAACACAAAAATGCAATATTGCAAACAAGCGCATACCTGTTTCATTTTCCGCATTTCATAGTATACAACCAATTTTACCTGTAGAGTTCTGTAATTTTGGTTGATTGCTGATCTTCAAGTCGTTACTCAACGTCATCCTTATGAGAGAGTAGAGAGGGCTTGAGAGTTGAGAGACAATGAGCCTGAAGCTGAAGCTTTCGAACGGCGAACCCGAACTGGAACAACGGGCGATGGAAACTGAAGGATATGGGTTTTGATTTTTTGAACAATCTGAAATGATATGCCAATATGGGTTCAGATTATTATAGATTTTATAGTTTGTAGTTGCAGAGACAGAGAGAGGGCAAGTTCAGAGTTGAGAACGAGAATAGAGATGAAGGCGATTTGGGAGGCTGATCTGATTCTTGTAGATTAGGGCAAGTTCAGAGTTGAGAACGAGAATAGAGATGGAGGCGATTTGGGAGGCAGAAATGATTTGCCCTAGCATGTGTGGGCAGAAATGATTTGCCCTAGCATGTGTGGCCTAAAATGATTTGCCCTACAATTTTAAGAAAGCAGCGGGAATGAGATCCGCGTACAGTCTTAATCCAAATTCACTTTCTACCACGGTTAATGAAAAACCATGGTAGAAAGAGCGGTATAAAAGTCTGAATAAATACACCCTAAATTTAAGTAAAATAAATTCACTTTCTACCACGGTTATTAAATAATCGTGGTGAAATAAATTCATTTTCTATCACAGCATTTGACTCAATTGTTCTAATGGTTTTTAAAACCATGGTAAAAGACACTTTCTACCACGGTTATTTTAAAACCGTGGTAAAAAGGGCGTTCTAAAAAATAGTTTTTCTTGTAGTGACAAAAGGAAATGAATTTCTTTGATCATGATGAGCCAGTTAACATCACAAATCTGGAAATGAATTTCATTGATCGTAATGATCCAGTTAACATCACAAATTTGGATGTATCAGATTTTTTTGAGGACCGTGATGAAAGGATAAACTTCCTGATTGGTGATGAAAATATCCACACTAATTAATCTTATTTTTTTTTCATATTCTATCTACTATGTTTTTATTTTCCTTGTATTTTCCTTATAGTAAAGTTTTTATCCTCTAGTTTGTATTAAAGTTTATTTTGTTATAAAAGTTTCTTTTCTGATAAAAAAATTTACATGAATAGGAATGGATCTGACTAGTTCCAACATAAATGGAGAAGATATGTGTCTTATAGATAGTGGAACAGCACATACAATTCATCGAGATCAAAAATATTTTTCCCACTTAATTATGTCAGACACCAGTGTCAGCACCATATCAGGTCCCACCGACTTGATTGAAGGCTCTGGACAAGCCAACATCATTTTACCACATGGAACAAGATTACAAATCAATGATGTCTTATATTCTACAAGATCTCGGAGAAATCTTTTGAGTTTTAAAGACTTGCGTCGTAATGGGTATCATATTGAGACCGCAAATGAAAGAAATGTGGAATATCTCTACATTACTTCCATTACCTCAGGCAAGAAGCTGATATTAGAAAAACTTCCTGTTTTCTCTTCTGGTTTATACTATATAACCATTAGAACAATTGAGTCAAATGCTGTGATCCATAAAAAATCTTGTGACTCAAAACTTTTTATGCTTTGGCATGATCGACTTGGTCACCCAGGGAGTACAATGATGCGTCGAATTATTGATAATTCACATGGACACCCACTAAAGGATCAAAAAATCATCTTACCAAATAATCATCTATGCACTGCCTGCTCACAAGGTAAGTTGATTATCAGACCATCCCCTTCAAAAGTCATTGTTATTTTTGCAACGAATTCACGGGGATATATGTGGGCCAATTCATCCACCCTGTGGACGATTTCGCTATTTTATGGTCTTAATTGATGCCTCAACAAGATGGTCACATGTTTGTCTGCTTTCTACTCGTAATGTTGTATTTGCTAAACTTCTTGCTCAAATCATCAAATTATGGACACATTTTCCTGATTACCCAATTAAGACAATCCGTCTTGATAATGCTGCTGAATTTTCTTCTCAAACTTTTAATGATTATTACATGTCAGTTGGAATTAATGTTGAACACCCTGTTAGACACACTCATACTCAAAATGGTATAGCTGAATCTTTTATTAAAAGACTTCAGTTAATTGGTCGTCCTTTGCTTATGCGAACAAAATTACTTGTTTCTGCCTGGGGTCATGCTATATTGCATGCTGCATCATTAGTTCGTATACGACCAACTGCTTATCATAAGTACTCACCATTACAACTTGTTTTTGGTCAACAACCAAATATCTCTCACATACGAGTTTTTGGTTATGCTGTATATGTTCTAATTGCACCACCCTAACGTACTAAAATGGGTCCTTAACGTAGACTTGAAATTTATATTAGTTTTGATTCTCCATTTATTATTAGATATCTAAAACCCCTGATAGGTGATGTCTTTAAAGCATGATTTGCTGACTGTCATTTTGATGAGACTGTTTTCCCACCATTAGGGGGAGAAAAGGCACAGCAGTAACGTGATCTTACTTGGAATGCCCTGGAATTGTCTTATTTTGATCCTCGTACAAAACGATGTGAACGAGAAGTTCAGAGGATCATTCACTTGCAAAATGTTGCAAATCAATTACCTGATTCATTTACTGATACAAAGAAAGTGATAAAATCACATATACCAGCTGCAAATATGCCAGCATGAATTACTATCCCTGAGGGACCTACTGTCAGTAATGCAGCAAATGCATCTAAAACACGCTTGAAGCGTGGCAGACCAGTTGGCGCAAAAGATACCGCACCTCGTAAGAGGAAATCACAAAGAAAAGTGGGCACTCCTGAAGAGGCCACAAAAGGAGCAACAGATATTATTGATCAATTTGAGATAATAGCCTTTGATAAGGCAAAGACTCTTGATAAGTTTCAGGTACCTTAAAATGATGAAATAATAAGTATTGATGAGGCAAAAACAACAAATGATGATATGGCCTTTAATGATGCACATGCCCTTGATGAGGCAAAGGTACTTGAAAATGATGAGATCTTATTAAATTATGAAATGAGATAGAATAGAAATGAAATTGTTGTCGACAACATATTCTCATATCTCGTTGCTCTTGATATTGAAAATGAGGATCCGAAACCTCAAAACGTCGAAGAATGTCGACGAAGAAATGATTGGCCAAAATGGAAAGAAGCGATACAAGCAGAGCTAAATTCATTAGCTAAACGCGAAGTATTTGGACTAGTAGTCCAGACACCCGAGGGTGTTAATCCTGTTGGATACAAATGGGTATTTGTACGAAAACGTAATGAGAAAAATGAAATTGTGAGATACAAAGCTTGACTAGTAGCTCAAGGTTTCTCACAAAGACCTGGTATTGATTATGAAGAAATATACTCCCCTGTGATTGATGCACCTATTTTTAGATTCATAATACATTTGGTAGTCACAAAAAGATTGCATATGCATCTAATGGACGTGGTTACAGCATATTTATATGGATCACTAGATAGTGATATTAATATGAAAATCTCAGAAGGATTTAAAATGCCTGAAATAAAACCACGTAATATACACTCGATAAAATTACAACGATCCTTGTATGGATTAAAGCAATCTGGACGAATGTGGTACAATTGCCTTAGCGATTACTTACTCAAAGAAGGGTATGTAAACAATCATATTTATCCATGCATTTTTATTAACAAATCAGAATCTGGTTTTGTTATTGTTGCAGTATATGTTGATGATTTAAACCTTGTGGGAACATTGGACGAGATCGAAAAGACGGCCACTTATTTAAAGAAAGAATTCAAAATGAAAAATCTCGGAAAGACAAAATTCTGCCTTGGGCTGCAGGTTGAACATTTTTCGAGCGGAATTCTCATTCATCAATCAACATATACAGAAAAGATTCTGAAACGTTTTCATATGGATAAAGCCTATCCATTGAGCTCTCCAATGGTTGTCCGATCACTTGACATCAAGAAAGATCCTTTTCGTCCTCGAGAGAATGATGAAGAACTCCTTGGTCCTGAAGTGCCATATCTCAGTGCGATTGGTGCTCTTTTGTATCTTGCAAATTGCACAAGACCTGACATAATTTTTCCAGTCAATTTATTAGCAAGGTACAGTTCTGCACCAACTCGCAGACATTGGAATGGAATCAAACACATATTGCGATATCTTCGTGGTACAACTGATATGGGATTATTTTATTCAAAAGCATCAAATTCTCAATTAGTTGGATATGCTGATGCCGGCTATCTCTCTGACCCACATAAAGCCTATTCACAAACAGAATATGTGTTTACCTGTGGCGGCACTACTATATCATGGCGATCAATGAAACAGGCAATGATTGCAACTTCTTCAAATCATTTTGAGATACTCGCAATTCATGAGGCAAGCAGGGAATGCATTTGGTTGAGATCAATGATCCAACATATTCGAACAACATGTGGTCTCTCATCAATAAAAGATAGCCCAATAGTATTATATGAAGATAATGCGGCATGCATTGCACAGATGAAAGAAGGATATATTAAAAGTGACAGGCCCAAGCACATCTCACTAAAATTCTTTTATGCACATGAACTCCAGAAAAAGGGTGATATTGATATTCAGAAGATACGTTCATATGAAAATCTAGCAGATCTATTCACTAAAACGCTTCCAACTACAACATTCAAGAAGCTACTGCATAACATTGGAATGCGTCAACTAAAGGATCTTCAAGATTGATCTAATGAGGGGGAGCAATTGATCGAAGAGGTATTGGCATACTGTACTCTTTTTCCTTCGTTCAGGTTTTGTCCCACTGGGTTTTCTTGGCAAGGTTTTAATGAGGCAGTTTTAATCTATGCAATACCATTTTCAGATATATAAGAATACTGTACTCTTTTTCCTTCGCTAGGGTTTTGTCCCATTGGGTTTTCCTTAGTAAGGTTTTAACGAGGCATAGTCTTAATGTAGGTGCAGTAGACCCCAAGGGGGAGTGTTAAATATATATATCTTTATATATGGGGCCCACATGCAATTATATATGTTGAAAAGTTTTGAGGCTTATGGTATAAGCCTCTTCTTGTACTTGGTGCCCATGTTTTGTTTGCCTATAAATAGGCATTATGTGTATGTAATGTGGTGAAAAAAACTGTAAAAAGCTTGTCTCTCTCTCTCTCTGTGTTCGTTCTCTCTCTCTCTCTCTCTAAAACTTTGTCCTAATTTCTCTTATACTATTACTCTCTCTCTCTATATATATATATACACTGTCACATATATTTTATTATAGCATTAAAAATAGTTCCAAGCAAGTTCCATTCTCTAGCAGACAAATTAACCTAACCAAAAACTACACATACTAAAGAACTACGTACAATCAATCTTCATTGAGATCGAAAAATTGTCTAGCCAAGAAAGAGGAAAATATACACTCGCATCTGCCATGCTCCACATTGTTGTTAAATTCATTTATCTCCTTCAATTTTTGTAATGCATTGGAAGCCATCTTTTCAACATTCCTAACCCTTTCTTCGGCATCATCAACTAGTTGCCCCCACGTCGGCATGGTTATAACACTTTGATTGAATGGCCTTTCACCATATCCCAACCCAAACTTATAGTCATCATTCTCACTCTAGCCTCTCTCTCAAAGAGCTACTTGAGATAACAAAATAATGGTTTCCTAAAATTACTGATGCAGATAAATAAATCAAATTTGAAAAATGAAGACAATAAGAAACTTACAATCTTAAAAAAGAAAAATCTAATTATTACCTGCTTGTGTCACTCCCTGAAAATGCACGAACAGCAAGCAATGAATCACTCTCTCAAACCAGACTTGAGGATAGTTATAATGTAAAGACCCAACAACAGCCTTTTGAAAACAAATTGCCTTTGCTGATAAGGCACTCGAGGCATCAAATTGTTTGAAGACAACCACCTTTGATAACCACCTCGCCGCCACCAACTTTAACACGAGGGGAAAAAAGAAGCATTAGTGTTACACTTTAACAACTCTGCTCTCAGAAGATGCCAACAAGAATAAGTTAGAAGTGATGGATGCCCACGACACGGGTCACGTAGTGGTTTTGGGTGGGTGTACCCTCTCCCACCGTCGTTTATAAGTTCTCACCCCATCCCCGCCCAAAACCACCTAAACGGGATATCCTTCCACGATAGTTCCATCCCATCTCCTCCCTTGTTAAATTTTTTTCACCCCGTGGGCACCCGTCTTGCCCCATTTACTCTCAAAATTTCTCCTTGTTTTTAATTTTTTTTTTTTTCCTCAAATAAAATTATATAATTATTAAAAACAATCAATTGTTTAACATAAAATTCAAAATTACAAACATTCCATATGAGAAAAGTACCAACACACTAAAACTAAAGAAGCCAAATTACATTGTTCCAAATCAAAATACAAAAAGAGTAGTGTTAACTTTTATATATGCTAATACAAACTAGGGTAATTTTAGTAATTTACACACCTAAACGAGGCGCCCCGAACCTGCGTGAGTTTTCACAACTAAACCCCATCTCCGCCCAAATAACTAAACGGTCCTCCAAAATCAATTTAAACGAGGTGGGGTGGGTGCCCATCCCCGCGGAGAAAATAGCCATCCCTAGTGCCACTGATTGTCGAAGTCGGCAAACAATTTGCCTCAATGAACTTCCAAAACTGAGCAGTAGCCTTGTTAACTACAGACGGAGGCTCCAATGGTTCAAGTGGAAAAATAAAGTTATTTCTGGCTTTCTAGATCTAGCTATGTACCAACAGAAGAAGGAAGCCATGCTGAGAAGACTAGACTTATAGAGTCCCAGAGGCCTTTGTTGGAAATTTTTAAATAAATAAAAATTATTTTTTGTGGTCCTATGCATCAGTTTTTTCTAAAATAGAATTTCAATCTGATTATTGATGTTTCATGGATTGAATTGTGCTTTCTAAATTTGTAGTCTAACTAAAAGTATAGTTTATATAATTGGATTATAGTTTTCCAACTTTATTTAGTGGGATTTAATCTTGATATTGTTATCTAAGTTTCAATATTATCGAGGAAGACTTAAATATATTTTTTTTTGTAGAGAAGCTGTTCCTGTTGTTATCATATAAAAAGATTAAAATCCTTATCCAGCCTTCATCCAAGGACAACTCTCTGACCGGAAATGACACACTAAAGTTTTTTAGGCAAATTCTTAGAGTCTAAAAATCTGAAAAGTATTAAATCTTCAATTAAGTATGATGGCTAAATTCTCATATTTAATTATTACAATATTATTTATTTCTACATATTAATTGTTAGTTTAAAACTATTTACCCAAAAAAATTGTTAATTTAAAACTCAACAACCTCCACGTAGGAAGATGGCCCAACTAGCATTCATATCACACAATACAATTCCTCCTTAATCCAAAGAGATTGCAATTGCTTTTCTACCTCAAGGATGTGATCATACTTGTAATCATGGGGGTCTTCTCTAAGCTGCTTTAAGACTTCAGCTTCCTAACTGGATGGTTGCCTGGGGTATTCTAGAATTTTTCCTAACTCGATACACTGTTTCGAATTACAAGGTTTCGGCTTTAGCCTATTGTATTGAAGCTCGTTCACATATTTTTTTTTTAAAAAAAAAGGACCAGGAAGTGAAACCTTGAACACTGCTGATCTGGAGTCCATTCCCAATTGGATATCCCTATCCATATATATTTGATAATGGCTGTTTACCCGATGGGTTCGTAACTCGATCCCCAGGGTCTAGACATTGAATTGGACCCTTAATTTATATGTGCACCGATTTCATCAGCACCTCTTAGAATCAAATATAGTGAAATGACATGAGTCCCACTTTATTAAATAAAATTATAGAATGATGGGTCCCAGATAACGAGGGATATGTAAAAAACAGGTTGGATTACTTGCACCTTAATCCCTTTTCTAAAAAAATCTTTCTCAATTTTAATTATAACAACAATGATGACTAATTCATTTATGAGTAGTGTGAATTAGTCAGGTAAAATCCTACACAACCCGTGTGAATTAGTCAGGTAAAATTCTAAACAACTCGATTATCCCAAAAAAAAAAATTTGTTACACAAATATTAATTTTTGTTTTTTATGCTGCCTATAGGGAATTATGAGGAAATTATGGTGATTCAACGACCCATGAGTCCCACTTCATTGAATAAAATGTTTATAGAATGCACGTGTCTTATATCTTCTGCTGAAAAAATCAGTGCAAAGTAATTTTCGTGTTGAACATAATTGTCTTATATGGAAATCAATATGACAGTTCTTTGCCAAATTATGAGCTGTGCCCTATTTATTGTTCACACTTCTCTTATAAATGAGTAAGGGGGGGCCGTCTTAATTTCCTGATGCACCTGTTGCATACAGTACATTTCAGGTGTTGCCTGATCAAGCAAACCAAAGACAATTGCCTCCGAATAAACTTATCCACAAAAACCAATCAGCATCTCCACATAAATATAAACTGTGAATCTTTTTTTTTTTTTTTTTGGTCTCGAGGGTAAAAACAAAGCCAATATGTTTAGTTAGTTATCAAAAGGGCAATAGTCTAGTTGGTATAAACCCTCCTCAAAGATAGGGTGTTTGGTTTTCATAGAGGCATGGGCGTGCGTTTGCTTAACCTTCAAAAAAACCAAAAAAAAAAAAATTTATCGTGTGGGTTGTGGGTTACATGTACATCAATGAAATATAAACCATGTGGCCTACTTTTATTAGTCTCATTAAGGACCATTTTTGTGTGGACACATGCACCCACACCATACAATTTCAGATAGATCATTTCATGTTATTAGACAAACAATCTGCAATGCATTATGGTTTCAGAACACAAGTGAATCCCATGTTCCTGCAGAGGCATCAACAATGCCATTCCAATACATCTTGTCCTCCTCTTGAGCGAAGCTTCCATCACCATCACCAGATAAACATCCCTCACTATCCAACAGGTTCCATTCATCGAAGTTACTATGAAAAAGATTTGTGCACCCATCATTCAAATCTCGACTTCTAACTTGATCAGTACTAGTAGGTTCCTTGGTACTCCAAATATCGACGTTGGCGAGCTCAGATGATCCAACTGTTGGCATTCTCATTGCATCACCTGGCGTGCTAGCGTCCATTGATTTTAGTACATCAAGGCCAGGAGGTAACGCGAGTGTGTTGGACACTTGATTGGAGTGAATCATTGATAGGGGTGGAAATGGTTGATCATGTTCTTGATGAGTGTCTTTACATTGAAATCCCGGTGATGGGATGAGTAGGCGTTGGCGCAGCTTCAACTCCCTAACCAATCTGGCTTCGGCTTCGAGACGTGTACTCTCCCATTGAGCTATGTGACTGAGTGTTGCTGCATTGCTTGAGCTGAAGTTACTGACATCCTTTCGCCTGTGGGTGACCGGATCTATGCCCATCTTCGCCAACCGCTTCTTGATATGAGTGTTCCAATAGTTCTTGATTTCATTGTCTGTTCTCCTTGGCAAGTGCATGGCTATCACTGCCCACCTGAAGTTAAAAAAAGATGGAATGATTGAGTTGGGAAAGTTTTTGAAACCCAAAGGTTTCTTGAAATTTATGTCTAGTGTCTTTTCAAAGAGGACAACTATTTTAGGACATCCAAAAGAGAGGGGGAAGCTTATAGTACTAATTAAGATAAAATTGTATTACTTAATCTTTACCTGTTGCCAAGAAGGGCATGAAGCTGAATGATGGTTTGTTCTTCATGCAGAGTAAATTTTCCTCTTTTAATCCCAGGCCTGAGGTAATTGATCCATCTCAGTCTGCAGCTCTTCCCACACCTTTGGAGACCTGAAAAATAAAAAAATAAAAAACAATTAAGTTGATCCCAGAGCTTTCAATCAACATGGTCCTCAGAGAAAAAAAAAAAGAAAAAAAATATATATATAGTACTAATATTTTTGTGTAAAAAGAAAGATAATGAAAAACAAAAAAAAGAGTATAATGCCTTAAGAGACTCTCCTGTAACATAGTATATAAGGGGGTTTAATGTTTGAGGTGTGATATTGAACATCAAAAGTGGTTTTTGAAAGTGAGAGAGATATAGGGTTTGGGAGTTGAAACTTGTGATAAACATAGTAGAACCTCGCCGGACCTTCACCATAAATCATAAGGTTTATGCCAAAGTATGTAAATCTTTGTGTTGTGTGTGTAGTGCATGTTTGTTGCTCTGTTAGTTTCCTAATCTCTTTCTTGGTATGTAGCATTTGTAACACTACATGCCTAAATGATAATGAAAAAAAGAAAAGAAAAGAAAGAAGAAGTTAATTTGTGATTTGCAATGGAATAAAGCACTGAAGCAAGGAAGTTTGAGAACCTAGCTCCTACCAGCTTTCTGGGGTAGGGTGCGCCAGCTTCCATGGCCATATTCTTTGATGTACGCTGAGAGCTTCTCGTCTTCTTCGGGTGTCCATGGGCCTCTCTTCAAGCCTTCCCCATCACAGCGTGGAGTTCTTCCCATTCCCAATATAAAACTACAAGACAAAGGAAGCTGGAAATGAAGCAGTTTAAGCTGAATCTACTGAGAGAGGCAATAATGAGTATAGGTTGATTGAGATTTATAGTTCAGGAGAAAAATGAATACCAGTTGATACAGAAATGGGGTAAAGATTGCTACTATTTATGGGAAAAGATGAGGAGCAAGTTCTTGATTATATCACTTATGGCAAAATAACCATATTTTTCCCATATATGACACAGCTAGGTGTCTAAGAGACTTTAAGCTAACATACTGAATGGCTCATTGCCTAAAGTAGACAAAGGCCACTGACTCTTCATAAAAGTGAATCAGTTAAGATTCAGTTAAATTAATGGTTGTCCAACCAATATTTAAAAAGTTGATTTTTTTTTTTCCCCTCTCTCTCCCTTTTTCTTCAAATTTTGGGATTTAAAAGAACTTGAACTAGAGGTTAATAAAAACACAGAGCTTTGAGTATCAATTCAACTTGTTAGAAAGAAATCAATGGCCATTAATAGTCCATATGGTATACCTTCCAAAGGAGAGGTTGAGTGTTTGAATTTATAGACAAATATTTTCTGTTTGTGCGCTGAACTTTCAAGAAAATGTATATATTTATAGATATAATCTTGTTAGAAAGGGGGAATAAGGTTGAATCTACTAGGCACATGTTAGTAAAATATTGTACTATACTACCAAAAAATATAAAAATTATTGTCCACAAGACTTACTTTGATATTGCTTATTGCTCCACTTAGAATCAACTATGGCAGCTACATCACAAATGGTAAATCTAAGCAAATTTTTATTTCAATGCCAAAACTTTTACTGAATATTAGAAATCTTATCTATATAATCTTTATTTTCCCTACTAATAGTAGTAGTTTGTGAATCAAATAAATTAAATTTATTTTGTTTGAATAGAATTTGTCTACCTAATTTGTTTTTTTTCTTTTTCTTTTTTTATTTATTTATAAATTTTCTTCTTGTATCTAGGGCATGGAAGGTTGATTTATGTTTCATTCTATTTCATAAATCATGCATGCATTAAGAGTCTTAATTTATATACCGTTGGAAACAAAAGGGTTTGGTGTGAACTTTTAGTAATTACTATATAAGTTGTTATTCTGAGATGATTACATTACTGAAAATCGTGGGGGTTGGTGTCAGCTGTGAATTCATCTGCTGCCTCTACCCAACTACAGTAAAAACAAATCTCTAACTAAAACAACAGGAATGAAGTTCATAGGCAAAAACATAATTATGAGATAACTGTTTTAACAACTTTCTATGAATTAATCATTACGAGTCTACAGTCTTCAGTCTGCTATTATGTCTTGTTACTCTTTGGGTCTCAATCTTAAGAAATACCGGTGATATTGGGTGTGTCGGGTGTACAATGAACCAGCTTATTTGAGTCGTAGGGCACAATACGCAACCGTGTGTACATAATATGTACAACTTGAATGAGTCAAGTGCACCGAATCGTACAGACATAATACACACCCATACATAGTACATACCATTTGAATGAGTTCGGTGCACAATACGCCGGGCACAATCCTAAGTCATATAAGGTGGAAGCGAGTGCGAGAACGGGAGCGAAAGCGAGAGCGTGAAAGCGTCAAAGTCTAAAATTTTTGAAAGCCGGAGAGAGCATCTCTATAATAGATTTAAATAAAATTATGACATATATATTTTATATTTTTTTATTTATTTAAATTCATCTGCAAATATTGTCATTATTAACTATTTCATTAATGATATATGTAATAAATAAGCTAATTTTTCTCACTAATAAATGTATGATTTATTTGCAATATTCTCCCATTGGAAAGTTTTTTAGTGGTATACTTTCAAACATGTATAATTAATATATATATATATATATATATATATATGTGTATATATATATATATATGGTAGTATAACAATGCCATAGAATTGGACCACAGGTGAGGTTTAAGTAATTAATGTATATATTGAGTAATAGTGTAAGTTATGAATGCATATATGGTAATATAGGTGTTCTATGTCACTGGAACTCTTAACAATTTTACCTGTATAAAGTGAATTAGTATGAAAATCGCGAATTAGGAAAATAAATTCGTGAATTGAAAAATTGAATCCAGAAATTTTAATTTGTGCGAATTTGCTCTCAAATCATAAATTCGCGTCCGAAAGTTGAGTGCGGACCTATTTGGACGAATTGTGTAACTAAGGCACAATCAATACTTTCTTCTAACATATTTTTAACTAAAACAACATAAATGATGTTCATAGGCAGAAACATAATTATGAGATAACTGATTTTAGGAATTCATCATTAGGAGGAGTCTGCAGTCTACTTATTATAATCAGATACATGTGCAAAAGGTGGTAAGAATTAGTAAAAATTTACTCCTTGGTTGGTAAGTAACATAAGTAGTCATGAATTAAAAGCAAGTTTGTACAGCCAAAACCAAGGAGTCTCATTATTACCATGATTGAATAACATGGATGAATCAACGTCCCATTAATATCAAAATCAGAGTTTTTTCTTTTTCACAGTTGCTTAACTCTTATCACAACATAACTTTTCTGTAACTATATAACCAACAACATTTATATTTCTTATCAATAATTATTAGGCTAGCAAGTTGCATGTCATGACACCACCAATTTGCTACAAACTTTTGAGGAGCATTTTTAGTAACCTGCATGTTGCTGGAAGCAACCCTAATCTAAGACCTGTGAGATGTGAAAAATAATACAAACAAAAACTGTTCACACGAAACAAACGGTTAATTTTTTTCAAAGAGTTCCATATATAACCTAACAACCCCCTCCTCCTCCTCACACACATTGTAATGTAGTATTAGGGTTACGTGCATAACAAATGTGAAATTACTAAAATACTCTTAATTAATTTTTTTTTTTAAGAACATCACTAAGACAGGCTTGACTAATTTTGTAATCGTCGAATTCATTCCCTAAACCACCACTCTCCCTCATATGTTTTAATGCAACTTAAAGACAAATTGACATTTAGACTTTAGATCAGAGAGTGTAAATTGCAGGCCGGTAGTGCCACAAAATACTTGTGTGCTTATATAAATATTTAAGTAAGCAAACACCATTAGGCTTATTACTTTTTCTTTACTTTTGTGCAACATACAATTATGTTTAGTGCAATTAAAAAATCAAGTAGTCTAATCAGTTTTAGTTTGTGAAGGTTGATGATTTAAGTTTTCATAGTATACGTGGGAGTTTCTAGCCAAGATTGTTTATAATTAAATAAATAAATAAATTGCAATTAGTGATCAATTATACAACTAATGATAAAAGCTCACCTATCTAGATACTGAAACTGAAAACGACTTTGCTATATATCAGTCATGATATGCTTTACCATTAAAGCTATGCAAAATATATAACTACTCATGGCACTCATGACTTTAAAAACATTAACAAGAGTAGTTATTAGTCCTCTTTGTCAGGTCATTCGTACAACCAGCTACATTAATGGATGTGCTAAGGAAATCAACCGTTGCCTTGCTGAGCATAAACATTAGGTTCCATGGGATATGCATGCACTACACCTTAACATTACTAGAGTACATAGCACTGTAACATCAAAATAAACAGAGACTAAACGGTAGTACTCTTTCAACCACAAAGGGCCTACGGAAATTAAACCCCTCGTTTGTCCGGTATTGGTGTCATGTGCCCCAGACAACAAAAACATTACAAAATTACATATTCCCACATGAAGCCAATTTGCAGTTGTTAGAGACGCATAAAATTACTAAAATATCGTCATTATTTAAAATTTGCAATGTGTTAGAATCTCTAAAAAAAATCGATGTACCAAAATACTCTCACTTAGCATGTGTGAGTTGCGCGATGGGGAAGCACTGTTAATTCAAATGAAAATAATGTTTTATGACTTAGAAGAGTGAATCTGTCAACTTGTTTGATTTTTGTGATTGATTAATTTCTCACAACAATTAATAATTAAACGTTCACAATCACAAAGTAAAACGATAAAATAAATTAAGCATGTAAATAAAGCTTGAGCAAGGACAGACCTACATGTAAGTGAACGTGGACACCTAAATACAACAAATACAATGAACTCCTATATTCTGCAAAACTCAACTCAAAATACATTTGAGAAAGCTTAATAAAGAAAGATAAACAAAAAAGACAAAGTAACTCAACACTTTAAATGCCAATGCAGTGCACTTATACTCTCATGTAATCTCTTTTTTAATATCTCTCTCCCCTTTAATAGGAAAATCTATAACCACATTCTCTCCCTTTTGTTAGAAATTAACAATGGACTCAAAATAAAGAGGATAGAAGGAGGAAGCTAACATCCATATAGAACTTTTATAGTTAACCATAAGAAAATATATACACCAGAACACTATATCATGAGCATAAAAAATTATAGCTACTATCAAATCTTTGTAGTTTCATAAACTTAGCTAGTATAGTAAAATCACCATCAAGTTCTAAAAACAAATAAACTACCAATTGTTTAAATTTCAAACAAAATTTCAATGACATACATTACACTCCCGCATAAATAAAACAATCAACATGTACAAATAGACCCATTTTATTCAAAATTTATTTATTTATAATTATTTTTTTTTTAATTGGTGTTATACTATAGCCGGAAGAATTCATTACAGGTGCACATAGGGCATACCCTCAGAATGAACACAAACACAAAGGTAGGTAAAGATAAGCCCATTTCCAATACAAACTAAGACACCAAAACATCAAGCTAAGAGAAGAGATCATGGACTGAAGCATTATGGACATCAAACACTTCAAATAACACCTGTTTAGCCAAATCCTAAGGAGAACTATGGACTGTACCATGAAGTCTTGCATTTCTTAAACAAGTAAACAACCACAACTTGATAAAAACACTTACATATATCACTAGGGTGATGAAACCTTTATCTATCACAGGTGTGTGATATTGTTTCACAGTCACAATGACCCCA